AGTGTTTTTTTTTCTCTATTACTTTATGGAAATGTTTATATTTTTTGAAGCACAGTACCACCAAAACAAGGCAGTGTTTGTCCCAAAAACCTGTATTACCTAAAGCGGATCTAAACCCGAGAACAAAAATGTAATATACTGCAGGTTTCTTTTATCACCGGTCCTGGATTTAGGCAGAACCTATGTTAAGATCAATAACAGTATTGTCACAGCTGACACTGCCAGGTACCCCAGAGAGAGGTCACCAAGGGGGCGGAATGATGACCATGAAAACTTTGCTATGGGCCCCCATAATTTGTAATTGAGCCCATCCGCCCTTCCTTCCATTTTCTTTCCTTCCTTCTTTCTCCCTTCTTTCCTTCCGTCTTTTCTTCCTTCTTCTCTCCTTCCTTCCTTTTTCCTTCCTTTCTTCTTTAATTTCTTCCTTCTACCTTCTTCCTTTCCTTCCTTCTTTCCTCCCTTCTTCTTTCTTTCTTTCCTTTCTTTCTTTCTCTTTCTTTCTTTTCTTCCTTTTTCCTTCCTTCCCTCCTTCTTTCCTTCACTTCTTCCTTCCCTTCTTCCTGCCTTCTCTCCTTCCTTCCCCCTCCCCTTTTTTTCTTTCTTTCTTTCTTTCCTCCCTCCATAGGGTACCAAATGGTAGATAATTATTCGGGTGCTCCTTGCATGGGGGGGGGGAGGGGAATGATCAGTTTATAAACTTTAATATAAAATGAAAATGACCAAAAACAGTTAAAGTTTCTACCTAGCTTCATCCTAATCCATTACGTGGCTCTCGGTGTGACCGGTGGCTGCCGTTATAGAATTTCTAATGGGACAAATAAAAATTTTTTTCTTCCTCTGGTTTTCCCCTCTGTGATTAGGATCAGCAGGGCCGGCGCCATATTTTGGAGGAATTATCAGGTTCTTGTCTAGAATTAATAAAGAACCTTTTTCCATTAGTGGTGCTCCTCAGGCCAAGGAAGGAGACGCAGGAAGAGATGGATATTAATCTTTAATTAACATTATGTCAAATCTTTCACCTGAAACTACTCAGCCTTCTAATTCAGACACAGGTACCTGGCTTCCATCCAGCGTTTGATGAGTGACAAGTCCCAGTGTGCCTGTGCTAGCCTCTGGGATTAATCAGCATCTAAAGTGATCAAACACAGAGAATTTCCGGAGAGGAGAGTTAGATAGAGGAATGAGCAGAGTCATCCAGCAGTGCAGAGTATATCAGGAGAGGAGAGTTAGATAGAGGAAGGAGCAGAGTCCTCCAGCAGTGCAGAGTATTTCAGGAGAGGAGAGTTACAGAGGAAGGAGCAGCGTCCTCCAGCAGAGCAGAGTATATCAGGGGAGGTGAGTTATAGAGTAAGGAGCAGAGTCCTCCAGCAGTGCAGAGTATATCAGGAGAGGAGAGTTAGATAGAGGAAGGAGCAGAGTCCTCCAGCAGAGCAGAGTATTCCAGGAGAGGAGAGTTATATAAAGGAAGGAGCAGAGTCCTCCAGCAGAGCAGAGTATTCCAGGAGAGGAGAGTTATAGAGGAAGGAGCAGAGTCCTCCAGCCGAGCAGAGTATATCAGGAGAGGAGAGTTAGATAGAGGAAGGAGCTGAGTCCTCCAGTAGAGCAGAGTATTTCAGGAGGAGAGCAGAGTTATATAGAGTAACATGTTCATTTATTTGAAGGTTCTGCCTAATGCACTAAAATGGACCAAAAGGGGCATGTAGAATTTTTGCAGCACAGTACAATGCAATCCACTGCAACTCCTTGCTGTACTGTAACTATTGAGGAGCAGCGTTGTCACCCTAGGACAGGAAGTTTGTTAGGACTACAGACAACTTCCCCTCTCCTCATCTCCTTAACATAGGGTGGAGGTGCTCTGTAGCTCTTAGGGCTGGTGACACTGCTTGAAATTTCAATGTAGCCCAGACAGAGAGCAAAGATTTCTTGCAGGATCAGCAAGTTTTTAGTTTTTTTTGTAGGTATCAAACCAATTGAACAAAACCCTTTCAATGGTGTATCTGCCAGACCAAAAGTGAGACAATAAGGGAAGTTCATTCTTAGGGTTTGCATTCATTTTAAAGCATATTGTGATATTGTCTGTTCACATATTTGAAACATTCAGCCCCACGGTGTTATTTTTAGAATTGAAGTTTATTGCTTTTACTCTTTATGTAGAATTAAATGCAGCGATGGGATCTGTGGGCCCGTGCCTAGAGGTGCCGGTGCTGGGGGGCACCCGATGCAGCAAGGCAGCCACAGCCTCCATCTGCTCGCTCGTCTCTTCCTCCCTTGGCTGTCCAGTCCCTTGTGCTTCCCAAACCCATCTGTCACTGAGAACTGCACCACTGCTCTCTGCAAAGGAAATGATGTCGCATTCCAGTGAACACAAAGACTCACTTATTTCATTGTCTACCGCAAAGTGTTCTTTATAAATTCCACCTCTTTACATGATTTCTCGTGTATGTCTTTGTTATTGTCTGTAGCTCAGTAAAGCCTTCCTAGACATGTCTCATTCCATCACATATCCCAAAAATAAGAGGATTGTTCCTCATTTCAGGACCATGGATGGAGCCATGCAAATCATTGCTTTGTACCCCCCCATCCAGAACCACTAGTGTAAAGTGCAGCGACTTTGCCTAGGCTGAGATGATGTAGTCAGTCTGCTGCAAGCAGGAGGAAGCATTTCCTCAGTCTCCTCTCCCCCAGTGATCAGTCTGCTGCCGGCAGGAGGATGCATTTCCTCAGTCTCCTCTCCCCCAGTGATCAGTCTGCTGCCGGCAGGAGGATGCATTTCCTCAGTCTCCTCTCCCCCAGTGATCAGTCTGCTGCCGGCAGGAGGATGCATTTCCTCAGTCTCCTCTCCCCCAGTGATCAGTCTGCTGCCGGCAGGAGGATGCATTTCCTCAGTCTCCTCTCCCCCAGTGATCAGTCTGCTGCCGGCAGGAGGATGCATTTCCTCAGTCTCCTCTCCCCCAGTGATCAGTCTGCTGCCGGCAGGAGGATGCATTTCCTCAGTCTCCTCTCCCCCAGTGATCAGTCTGCTGCCGGCAGGAGGATGCATTTCCTCAGTCTCCTCTCCCCCAGTGATCAGTCTGCTGCCGGCAGGAGGATGCATTTCCTCAGTCTCCTCTCCCCCAGTGATCAGTCTGCTGCCGGCAGGAGGATGCATTTCCTCAGTCTCCTCTCCCCCAGTGATCAGTCTGCTGCCGGCAGTAGGAAGCATCCCCCCCCCCCCAGTGATCAGTCTGCTGCAGGCAGGAGGGAGCAATGGTTACTGATAACAATCCGCTCAGGCCTACAGCACAGGAAGTTCAGCAGCTCAGGAGATTTTTGGCAGGAGCCACAGGTATGTTTTTGCCAACAAAATATGTGCAATGGTAATAAGAGCAAATAAGGGAAGTCCATTGTTGGGGCTCACATATAATAAAGCTGAAGTCAAGGCTGACCAATGGGATTAAACCGCCTAGGGATGGACCGATGCCAATACTAGTATCGGTGCCGTTACTGAGTATTTGGGCGAGTATTTGTACTTGCCCAAATTCTCCCAATACTTATCCCGATACCAGAACTTCTGGTATCAGGAACCCGGGCGGTGAGTCAATACACGGCGCCTGGCTTCCTGATTGGCCCGGGAAGCTCGGTGCTCCTTTATCACTTGGTGATGAGGGAGCATGGAGCCATCTTCTCAGCCAATCAGGAAGCAGGGCAGTGTGCAATAACTCGCCGCCCGGCTTCTTAATTGGTCGGGAAGCTGGTCGTTCAGGAAGCGCCATTACCCACCCCCCGGCTTCCTGATTGGCCAGAAAGCCGGCTCCATGCTTCCTCGTTACCTTATGACGAGGAAGCATGGAGGCAGCTTCCCGGTTAATCAGGTAGTCGGGCGGCGAGTCATTACACTTCACCCGGCTTTCTTCATGTATCGGTATTCGGTATCGGCGAGTACAGGAAAAAAAATTATCAGTACTCATACTCGATTCCCGGAAAAATTTATCGGTGCATCCCTAAAACCGCTCCCCATCCAATCTTCTTCTCTCCTGCTGTGGAATGTGGGCAGGCCCTTTGACAACAGTGGCTTCCAGGGACCAGTTGTCACTCCTGGATCTGGTGGGAGGAAGGTAACCATTTTTCTCTATTAAGTAATCTCTTGGAAAAAGAAGCATTATATCTTGCATCTGGTGGGGGACATTTAATTTTTTTGTAGCCAGACTGGAGTTACACTTTAAATCTGTCATATACGAAATTGTTATCTAAATGTACTGTATATATGAGCATTGACAAAGGATGAGCATGACAGCCAGTCAGCTAGTATTTCCTGATGCAGAGCCCAGATAGCAAGCAATTGAGCTGCAAGTTTGAAAATGACTTGCTAAACTATTGCTAGACTTGCCGAGCTTCACCATTTTGTTGCACAATTACAGCAAGTCTGCATTACAAGTCTCCAGAACCAGATCAACGTGCTTTGTAAAAGTGCTGTACACTCGCAAAGCTCTTCGTAAGACCGGCAGGACTCTTGCTGTAGACTTGCCAAGCAAATTTGCTACAAATTCAAAAAGTGTCAACTAGAACTTGTGCTGCGAGTGTTCTGCAAGTCTACAACTTGCCAGGAATGTGTGCTGCAAGTTAACAAGAATTACAATTTAACCCTGCCACAAGTTTGTGGCAAGTTATACTTGCTATCTGGGAGTTTGTCTGGGGCAACCTCGCTGTTTCACCCATAAAGTTATTTTTCAAGGGCATTCTCCATTTACAATATTTTAAGATCCTTCCTAAAAATAAGCATTCACAGACCAAAATATAGATCTGCTCTACACTCCCGCTAGGCATGGGTCAGGCCACGCCTGCTGATGAGACCAGGCCACGCCTGCGGATGAGAACAGGACATGCCCACTGATGAGACCACGCCTGCCTCTCATTCATTCCAACTCAAACATTCCTGATTGGCTGCTATCAATCCCTGGAATTTGCCTTGTCCATGATATAATAATGATTCCGAATATAATAGGGTGTTACTTGTCTTGCAGGTTACTGGTTCTTGACAACGTGCGGGGCCAGCGGTCCTCAGGGGCCGAGTCAGAAGCTGTGCGATGAAGCCTATGAGAACTTCAGCGTAATAGTCGGGACGGGAACGCAAAGGGGCGTACAGATCTGGCGGGTGCCCGAAACCAACCGATACAGGTGATGCTTGCGGGTCTCATTACTTATAAAGCACAGGTAAAAAAGATGGCGGAAGTATTGCCATTTCCAGGGCTGTATTTCAACATCACAGTTCCCGCTAGGTACACCTGAATGATAACACCAAGCTCCGCCCCATTTTGGTGAGAACTAATGCTAGAAAAGAAAAAAAAAGAAGAGATGGTTTCATGCATCTTGAACTTTAAAGAGTCTTCTGACTCCTCTACATCCTCTGATAACCCTTATAGTTCTATTGCTAAATTTAGATACAAATGTCAAGTTGGACAGAAAGTTATCACCATTTGTACATTTTTGGGCTCCTTCTAATCCAGCCACTTTATGGCCCAAGATTATTGATATTCTGATCGAGCTTTGGGCTTATGTTCTGTGGTCAGCTGAGACGCAGATGGTGCTAACCTAAGTTTTTCTTGAACCTCTCATTAGCTGGCCTCCTCTGCTTAAGTAGCGGCACGGACTTGTATCACTCGGTCTGATCTTTCCACGTATGGGGTGAATGCAGCGGGTCTAATCATGCCGTGTAATTACATGAGAGCAGCCGAACTCTGTACTTATCATTAACAAGTGTCTCTTCAGATGTGTAGTTACACCGTCATAATTATAACCTTTCAGGTATTTATATCCTACTCGTGTTAATATCTCACTGCTTTAACAACCGCTTGATATCTGACTGCGTCACCTGAATAGTAATGTTCGCTGTCCTAGTCTGACAATGCTCCTTAAAGGGAATGTGTCGTTTTATATATATAAAAGAGAGAGAGGTTATAATAAGCTCTCACCATGAGTTCCTGGGTCTGTACACCTGCTGTGCCCATTATGAGGAGCTCCCACCATCTCTGCACTGGGTTCCTGGGTCCGTGCACCTGCTGTGCCCATTATGAGGGTCTCCCACCATCCCTTTGCTGAGTTCCCGGGTCTACACTCCTGCTGTGCCCAATATGAGGGTCTCCCACCAATCCTATGCTGAGTTCCCAGGTCTGCACACCTGCTGTGCCCATTATGAGGAGCTCCCACTATCTCTGTACTGGGTCCATGCGTCTGAACACCTGCTGTGCCCATTATGAGGAACTCCCACCATGTCTGCACTGGGTTTCTGGGTCTGTACACCTGCTGTGCCCATTATGATGGGCTCACAACACCCCTGTGCTCATTATAGGGGGGTCCCCACCATCCCTGTGCTGAGTTCACGGGTCTACACTCCTGCTGTGCCCATTACGAGGAACTCCCACCATGTCTGCACTGGGTTCCTGGGTCTGTGCACCTGCTGTGCCCATTATGAGGGTCTCCCAACACCCCTGTGCTGAGTTCCCGAGTCTGTACACCTGGTATGCCCATTATAGGGAGGGCCCACCATCCCTGTGCTGAGTTCCCAGGTCTACACTCCTGCTGTGCCCATTATGAGGGTGTCCCACCATTCCTATGCTGCGTTCCCAGGTCTGCACACCTGCTCTGCCCATTATGAGGAGCTCCCACTATCTCTTTACTGGGTCCCTGGGTCTGTACACCTGCTGTGCCCATTATGAGGAACTCCCACCATGTCTGCACTGGGTTCCTGGGTCCGTACACCTGCTGTGCCCAATATAGGGGGGTCCCCACCATCCCTGTGCTGAGTTTCCGGGTCTACACTCCTGCTGTGCCCATTCTGAAGGCCTCCCACCATTCCTATGCTGAGTTCCCAGGTCTGCACACCTGCTTTGTTCATTATGAGGGGCTCCCATATTATTATTTATTGTATGTTATGTATAATGTATCCGTAGTAGCCGGACCACACAAAGATGGGTGGAACACACAAAATTCCAAGGTGGACAGGAATTAAGTTAACACAAGGCTCCATTTATATCTAAAATATCATTTTTAGGTAGCCTGACCCTTTGAGAGTCCATTGAATCCTATTCAAAATGAACATAGAAAAATAAGTCTCAGTACATCATGGTAATGCATAGAAGGGAATTTATCAAAACCGGAGCAGGCAGAATGTGAAGCAGCTGTGCACGGCAACCAATCAGCTTCTCTTTTTCATTTTCAAATCTTAACTGAACAAACTGAAGAGAGAAGCTGATTGGCTGCCATGCCCAGCTGCTCCAGATTTTGTCTGCTCCAGTTTTGATAAATTCCCCTCATTATGTCTTGCTTTATTTTCTTTCAGGATATCAGGATACGGAGCAGCTGGCGGAATGGGAGTGAAAACTCCTACGAGGGCTCACGGCACGGCACTGGTTGGGGTTTTTGAACTACAGAAGGATGACATACTATATATATTGGTTGGCCAACAAGGGGAGGATGCCTGCCCCCGGGTAACTGACTACTTCTATATTTATGTAGATACTGGTCTGGTATATTCTATGGTTGGGGAGAGTGTTTATAATTTGTCTAATCTAGACTGTTCCCCAAATAGGTGTTTGGAAGATCTCATGCACAACTCCAAACTCTTAACGTACCCTAGAGGCATGGCTAATAAGATATCTATACAATTAAAATCATAATTCCAAAAACTATTAAAACTATGAGAATTGACACATTTCACTTTTTTTATACACAAAACCACACAGATCTGCTGCAATAAGATCATTTCCTTGTTCATTAACAATTATTAAATGGGCTGGGCTATGGGGGAAGATTAGGGAAATTGCACTTGTTCACCCTGAAGATGAGGAGCTTGGGAGGGGATATGGTTGCATTGTACAAATTGATGAATGGTGAAGGTGAATCGGTAACAAAGAGAGATTACTCTAATGTCCCTAAAGAAGAGAAGAGGCCACCACATGACATTGGAAGAGAAGAGGTGTTTATCTCAAACTGTGTATGGGGATTCTTTACTGTTGGAGCAGTACTCTCTTCCCCAGGTAGTGGTGTCAGCTGAGAGTATAGACGCATTCATAAAAATTGTAGATGTCTTCCTCGGGGAACACAATATACAGGGGTATGGGAATGCTTAGTGACTCCCACACAGACACACACACACACACACACATCTCTCTCTCTCTCCTGTGATGGACTACAATCTCAATACAAATTAATAAACTAAACGTGAGATTGTAGTCCATCACAGGAGTAAGCTTGGAGCGGTGGCTACTTTACAACACACACAGGGACCATGGGGGACAAAAGCAGCCCCCCTCCAGAAGGAAGGACAGTGTCAGCACCATTAAGAGATGATTTGAGGATGTACAGCCCAGTGATGCACACATAAGATACATTGTTGTTAATAGTTAAGATACTAGAATGTATTTTTAAGTTTTAACTCCTGAGTCTAGTGTTACTTTAATAAACAATCACGGGGTAACTTGAAACATTTGGAAGGGATCAATAGACCAGACCTCAACTTTCATTGAGATCTTTAGTATAGCTCTTGACTTCATTTTTGACGTCTGTTCCTTTATTCAGTTTCATTGTCTGCGGGGAGAAAGTGATCTATACGTTTTAATCAAGCAAATTCCGGCCCCATTTAATAAAGCCGAAATATTAATTTAATGAAATGTAGCGGCAGAACAGATGTATTGACTGTTGGAGTAATTGGGTTCTGCGCCATTGGACAAGAGTTTATCTAACTAATTGGATTGTAATCAGCATCTTTACAATATCCTTCTCGGCGGAAAAGTGCTTTATAATACAATTTGAAATGTTTTAATTTTTTTTGCGCTTTCTCGAAAAGCCCGGGACACTTCATTAGTCATTAAAGCCATCTCCTCATTCGCGCTTGGAAACTAAATTAGCGTGAAGGATTTAGGAAGGGTAGACCAAGCGCTCTGACCATCAGCTTCTTCTCCACTGAACTGCTATTTAACAGCGTGATAGACTAAAGGTTGATGGCACAAGAGGTGAATCCGCGTCACTTGCATCAGTAATGTAATCACCCAGGCAGGAGAGAGGCCTTTGAGCGCGGCACTCAGCGATGCTCAAAGATATCTTTGAACTTCTAGAACTTTTTTTTTAGGGGGTCGCAAAAAAAAAAAACCCCACAGAGATCCAAGAACAGAGAAATCACACTGGTTATTTATTTATTTTTTTTGTAACGAGCAGCATTTCTTAAAATAGTACAAAAGCATCAAATGGAAAATAAAAGAATCTCTGCGCTAATAGGAAATCTTCACACCAGGATCGATAGCTTAAGTAAGGAGTGAGTACAGTCTTGAAACGCGTAGACAGGAGAGTGTTTTTATCGATTCTGTCGTCTGATGCTTCAGATAAGGTCATTATTTTTACCTGAATGACAACATGCTGCCGCGGATTGCTTCTACATGAGAGAAGTTGTGCTTGCCTTGCATCTCTGTTTGCATAACAAACATGCCTTAAATGTAACATGGGGGTTGTGTTTGTGACCTTGGCTGCCAGAGAATAACCCTGGGGTCCGTCAGTTCCACTGAACCCAACCTTAGTGGCCAATGAGCTTCAGCTGCTCAACATTGACTCCTCTGGACTCTCCAGGGCTTCGCGCTGCCACCAACAAGTCCAAAGTTATCACACCAATATGGCTACCAAGACCGATATATTTAACCCATTAGTGTGCTGCCATGGAGCTAGACAGGAAAGGAAAATTGCTGGTAAGTATGAATACAATTTTCCGGTTATTTCCTCATTTATTTATTATTCCTTTCCTCAAAATATGATCCAATGCATTTCAGGGGCCATCAAATGCCTCTTTCATTAAAGAAGTACACTTTATTAAATCAGTATAAAAATCAGACTGTGTATCATGATAACAATTGTATGAGGGAAGTGGCCCATACACTGATCGAATTTCAGTCACGTCCTGCTGACTCTGCAGAAATCGGAGCTTGAATGGGCCTGCTAGCACCACCCGCCTCAATCAACTTATCTTGAAGGAGCCAGGTGGAAAATTGTTGGCCGACCAGTGACTCCAGTCAATCAATGGCAGTCACTGCTTAGGTATTCTGAAAGGGGCGGGCATCAGCTGGATAAATACAATACACCGGCAGGGAAGATTCATCCGTTTGTGCGGTTTAGCATGGATGAGGGAATCCGTGTGATTTATTTCCTTCAGCTGGCAGGCTAAACACCCCCTCATTGACTCCCTTTATTAAATACATCCAGGGCCGCCCCTGTAATGAGGCATGCTGCATCTCTTTAGGAGTTGTATAAGGGCCATACACATCTCCCGTCCCAGTTCTTTGCAACCTGGGATGCTCCTGCCCGGCTCTTGGCAACCAATGACATGACTGGTTGCCAGGAGCTCAGCGGGACATTCTTAGAGCAGCCTTAGACCCCAGTTTTGTAGCGCGATTTCCGCTCAAAAATCGCTCAAATATGAAGCTCAGTGTTGCTCGTTCAATGCATTTCAATGGAGATGTTCACATCTTGCAGCTCAATGTCACCTGTAGCGTGTAGCTGAAGCTTGTCACTCGAACGTGAGCTATTCTTTGCCAGATTTCAAGCGATTTGGCCCCAATAGACGGCCAAGAGAAGCGCTACGTAGTGTGACAAAATGTTCTCTGTAGCTCAATGTCGCTTAGCTCAAATCAGCGCTGAAAAAGTTGTAGCTCAGTGTGAATGGGGCCTTACAGCTCAGCGTTGTAGCAGTGCGGGCTATGTGTGAATCCTGGGGTACTGATGGGGTAGAAGAGTTTAGAAACATTGCTTTCAAGGCTTTAGCTATCAGTAATGATATTTTGTGTTGGTTTTTTTCTTGTTAACCCTCTCATTATTCTTCAGGTTGATCCCATCCTGAAAATGGTTTGTATCGGAGAGAATAACGTGATTGAAGAGGAGATAAGAGTCAATGGAAGCGTAAACGAATGGGCAGGAGGAGGCGGTGGAGGGGGAGGAGCTACATATATATTTAAGGTAATGTAAACTCCAGCACCTCATAGAGTCTATAATGGAACTGTCAATTTGTCTCCTTACCTAGCAAGGATGAGCTCAGGTTTGGATGGAACCCAGTCCTAACCTAAGCTCATCTAACCATGGATCTACCGAACCCTCCCACCCAATCAGCTGCAAGTTGGGGCATTTCCCTCACAGCCGTTGACAATAAACAAAGGGGCAGGATGCTGGTGCTGACATCATTGACCTTATGTAGCCATATAAGGTCAATGACATCACTGCTTTCCACCCCTTTGCTTACGTCAGGGAGTTCCATGTCCGCAGCTGATTGGGTGGCAGGGAAGGAGTTTCCTTCCGTGTTTGAGAGCAGCTATTTCCAGGTTCCATGGAGCTCAGGTTCAGACCGCATCCAGTCCGAACCTGAGCTCATCCCTATTACCTAGCTGCATTCTACATGTCAGTCAAATCACTCCCTGTCATATGGAGCTGTGACCCCCTCACTGCTACACGACCTTATGCCCAGCACACCACTGCCCTGAAATACTCTGCACTGCTAAAGGACTCTGCTCCTTCATCTATCCAACTCTCTTCTCCTGAAGTTCTCTGCACTGCTGGAGGACTCTGCTCCTTCCTCTATGACTCTCCTATCTTGAAATACTCTGCACTGCTGGAGGACTCTGCTCCTTCCTCTATAACTCTCCTCTCCTGTAATACTCTGTAGTGCTGGAGGACTCTGGTCCTTCCACTAACTCTCCTCTCCTGAAATACTCTGCACTGCTGGAGGACTCTGGTCCTTCCTCTATAACTCTCCTCTCCTGAAATACTCTGCACTGCTGGAGGACTCTGCTCCTTCCTCTATAACTCTCCTCTCCTGAAATACTCTGCATTGCTGGAGGACTCTGCTCCTTCTTCTATCTAACTCTCCTCTCCTGAAATACTCTGCTCTGCTGGAGGACTCTGCTCCTTCCTCTATAACTCTCCTCTCCTGAAATACTGTAGCTTCTCAAATAACACGATCAGACATCGGATGGCTCCCGCCACAAACAACTTAGTTTGGTTTTGAAACTATTGTGTATGTTCAGTTAACTCACATTTTGGGTTCTTCTTGTAACTGCTGAGATAAAACCCAGTGGAGGCTAATCCACCTAGAGAATGTATTGTCTTATAGTAAACCCCTAAGGATTACAGCTTACCCACAACCTTGAGAGAGAGGAGCAGCAAAGTCTGGGGGGAGGGACAAGACCTGTAAGTGTTACTTTACTGCAGCAGCGGAAAACCAGGTCTCTTAACTTGCCAGGCAAGGATGAGCTTTGTGATGGAGCTGTGCAAATCTGAGGATTGGATGGGCAAAAATACAAATCCTTTGGCAGGTAAACAGCTTCCTTATATGTATTTAATCTGTGTTTTTATCTGTTTGATTCAGATTTAAGACATACAACATATACTATATTACCAAAATTATTGGGACGCCTTTACACGCACATGAACTTTAATGGCATCCCAGTCTTAGTCCGTAGGGTTCAATATTGAGTTGGCTCCGCCCTTTGCCGCTATAACAGCTTCAACTCTTCTGGGAAGGCGTCCACAAGGTTTAGGAGTGTGTCTATGGGAATGTTGGACCATTTGTGAGGTCAGGTACTGATGTTGGGCGAGAAGGCCGGGACTGCATGCCGAGGTGCGCGATTTTATACACCTGTGACCATGGAGGTGATTGGAACACCTAAATCCATTGATTTGGAGTGGTGTCCCAATATGTTTTGGCAATATAGTGTGTGTTGATAAGATGGCGATGGCGGACATAATTGGTTGGTGGGCAGAATTTAATAGACAGAACATCGTGTTGGCCAAGCTGCGATTTACCTATCAATGAACTTTTATTTTGTTTTTGTACTTTGGTCGCAGTGGCTGCATACTGTAACAGCGATGAATTATGACTTTTAATAATTAGTTGTTGCAGAAGTGCTGGCCTTTCCACGGTTTCCATTTACTCAGTTCAAGGCAATTAATATACGTTCGGCACTCGGTTGACAAGAACCGGGGGTGCCGCGGTCCATGCAGCGGCTTCCTCGCAGAATGGATATTAAACAGGCGGGAGTCATTAATAATTTTCTCGCTCCTCTCAGAGAAATGGAGTCAGAATTCAATAAGAACTCTCCGCAGTTTAACTGACAATTACTCCTGGCGGCCCGACGCCGCTGATTGGAAACTGAACTGGAAAGATTGTTGCAGCTTGTCGATAATGGAACGTTGCCGAGAGTGAAAAAATTAGCCGCTAAAGGAAAACGAATGTGAGCAGAGAATCGGCGAGAAAGGGAGGAAACAAACAAAAAAGGAGGCAAAAGCAATATTTCTTTTTTTTTAATGACCCATATTTGTTTAGTTCTGTTGTACGTCGCCCATCCTAACCACATACATTATTATTATCGCTGTCGTTGTGTAGCGCTCTGACGCACGTTGAGGAGGATAGAGAACCGTTTGCAGAGATTACAATCTAACATCACCATCATAGTCACACACACTATTAATAAAGACGTTTATAAACACACAAATGTACTAAAATAATTGATTCATTACTAACAATTTGTGCCACAAATGGGCTTACAATCCATAGTCAGTATTATTACTATTATTATTATTAACCCCCTCATGGCCGAGGCCTTTTTTTCATTTTGTGCACACTCCAGTTTCTCTGTTGGCTTCAAGAGTGAAACAGAAATACCCGGTACTCCGGGTATGAAAGGGCATGTGACTCACCCTCCTGCCTTCCAGGTGATGGTGCTGGTGCTTGGGGATTGTCTGCTTAGGCACTTTTTAGGTCGGTGTAAGCTCCAAGTTGCAGGTGTTACATGGTCAAACCACAAGTTCTCTTTAAGCCGGTAAATAATATCCTTAAATTTACTACCAAACTTCTGCTTTCAGTGATGACCAACAGAGCACAACACTATGCCAAAATAATAATTAATAATGATATATATCATTAGTAGATTCTGCGGTGCTGTCCAGAGAATGTAGTCTTTTATCATATATGCCGACGAGGAGCCCTGAGAATGTAGTATATTCCATGCCCACAAAGAGCACTGAGAATATAGTATGTCCCTGCCTTCAAGGAGCCCTGAGACTGTAGTATCATCCCTGCCCAGAAGGAGCCCTGAGAATGTTGTACCTTCCTGCCCACAAGTAGCCCTGAGAATATAGTATCATCCATGCCTTCAAGGAGCCCCGAGACTGTAGTATCATCCCCGCCCACAAGGAGCACTGAGAATATAGTATCATCCATGCCCACAAGGAGCCTGGGGAATGTTGTACCTTCCTGCCTTCAAGGAGCCCTGAGAATGTGGTATCATCCCTGCCCACAAGGAGCCCTGAGAATGTAATATCTTCCTGCCTTCAAGGAGCCCTGAGAATGTGGTATCATACCTGCCCACAAGGAGCCCTGAATCTGTAGTATCATCCCTGCCCACAAGGAGCCCTGAGAATATAGTATCATCCATGCCCACAAGGAGCCCTGACAATGTAGTATCATCCATGCCCACAAGGAGCACTGAGAATGTAGTATCATCCATGCCAGGAGGAGCCCTGATAAAGTAGTATCTCCATGCCCATAAGAAACCCTGACAATGTAGTATCATCCCTGCCCACAAGGAGCCCTGTCACAGTCATACAGACACGCCCACACCAAGGGTTATTTAGGCAAAATCTTGTTAACCAACCAGCATGTTTTGGGGGTTCTAACAAACAGCAGAATATAAAAGCCCATGCAGATATTGAGTGCCCAGGTAAATACTGAGACCTAGTCTCAGAGTAGGCAGGCTGCAGTGCTAACATCTCTATTACCAGGTAGAATGGACATTTGGCTGAAGTGGGCTTATGTGTTCAAAACAAGGTGCAGGAAAATAGTGTTGTTGCTCATAGCAAGCGATCAGATTCCAATTTCCAGTGCCAGGCAAAACATGCAAGGAAGCTTTTCATTGGTCAAGCAAATCAACACCACTGTTTGACCTCAATTTGTTTTTATATATATTTTTATGTTTATGCTACATTTTAACTTGTAGTAAAAGGTGGAGAATGTTCTGCTGATATCTCTGCGTTATTATTTGTCATAGCTGGAGAACGGGAAGTACAGCCCACTGCTGATCGCTGCAGGAGGAGGTGGCAGAGCGTATAAGGCGAAAGCAAATATCATCCAACCGGAGCGGCTGGAGAGCAATTTCACCGTGCCGGGCCTGAATGGAAAATCCGGGGCGGCAGGTAAATTCCAGGGGGGTTCACTTTCTTTTTCTTGTTATTTATGCGAGTTAGAATCCAGCAGATGTCCAGCTAAAGGCACTACAAAACACATCATATCTGCTATCAGGGTCACCCAAACATTTTTTGCAGATTCATTGCTATAATATTGCTTAACTGCCCAAAATTATCACATTTAAATTGTCATTATTAAATTATCACAACAATTATTAGTAATATTTCACTTATCACCTCGTTACAGACTTTATATATTAGAACAGAACTATAATCTAAAGCTGGCCACATTACAACCTGACTGCATGACAATAAAAAGGTCACTTTATACAGGATTTATATAGCACCAACAGTTTGCATACATGCTGTACAATATATAGGGAGACAGTACAGTTATAACATAAAAGCTTACATTCTAAAAGGGATATTAAAAGGTAATTACTGTGCGAGGATGAGTTGAAGGACAAAGTAAATGTTCAGTTGTTATACAGACGGTACAAATAACCCGCTAGATAACCCAACACTGAGCTCTGTCCTTTTATTTTATGCGGCAGGTGGGGGAGGTGGATGGAGTGACCACACAGCCTTTCCATGGGCAGGAAAGTCACTGGCGGATGGTGCTACTGGAGGGGAGTCCTGCCCCCAAGCCCTGAAGAAGTGGGGTTGGGAAACTAGAGGTGGTTTCGGAGGAGGGGGCGGCGGATGCTCCTCCGGAGGTGGTGGCGGAGGATACATAGGTAAATATGGTTCCAGCCCAAACGGCGATACAGTTGACACATTAAAAAGTTGGAATGTGTAACAGAAATTGTATGTACTGCAGGTGGCAACGCTGTAGATGATAATAGCCCAGATGCAGATGGTTGGGATGGGGTGTCCTATATCAGTCCACTCGGTGTCCTCTACACTCCCCCATTGAAAGGTAAGGAGCCATATTGACGGATCATCCATATGACAAAATATTTGTGCTTGGACTTTGGGTGCTTACTTTCACCATTTTTTTCTTTCCATAAACATTTTTTTGAATATACATGAAGTTAAGGATGAGCTCAGGATTGGATTGGTCTGAACCTGAACACAGAAGCCACATGGGCTTCCTGGGCCAATGAGCTATGGGGCAGGGCATTCCGCACCCCACAGCTGACCATAAGCAAAGGGGTGAGATGCTTCTGTTGACGTCATTTACCTAACATAGCCATATAGTCATATAAGGTCAATAACGCCACTACAGCCCGCCCCTTTTCTCACGTGCATCTACAGGCGGGGTATTCCCCAGCCACAACTGATTGGGTGGCAGTGAAAGGAGTTTCCTTCTGGGTTCGGAGGAGCTCCTTGCGTGTTTGGAGGAGCTTAGGTTCAGCCCAGGTTCAGTCCGAATCTGAACTCTACTTGCAATGTACTTCTGAACTTGACTACTCCAGCAAGAGTCATTTCCCTAGCACAGCCCCCGCCTTACTTCTTATTCTAGGAGTTTCTTATTACTCCCTCTGCTGGCCCAGCTCCTCTGCCCCTTCCTTTACCTCCTTAAATAACCTTTTATGTAATAGTTGGGTTGAGGAGTACAGAGGTTCAAGAAGCTGATACCAAATCAAATTCTTATATTTACACTACGGACACTCCTCGGGTTGGGTTCCGGAAAATCCATAGTAACCAGAAAATATCTTAAACCCGAGGAGTGTAGTTGTGTACTGTACTTCCGCATTTCAAATTGCAATAGCCAATAGCAGGCTGGCTATTGAATCCCCGCCCACTAAGAGAAGGAGGTCCGCTCCTCTGCTCAGTGGGCGGTTTCAATAGCCAGCCTTCTATTGGCTATTGCAATTTGAAATAGCCAGTAGCAGTCTTGCTATTGATCCTGGTTGTTTATATTCAGCTGCCGGCTGAAGTTTTCATGAGTCAGCTGCCCCTCTGCATTCTTTAAACAGACAATGTTATTATATTTAAAATTAAATTTAAGGAATAGGGATTGGAGGCATGTAAAAAAATGAATGCCTCCTTGGTCCATTGTGCATCCAGAACTGCTGATATATTAGACACATACAGCCTGGTTATAGTGTCATTTATCCAGCAGTTCCAGAATAGCAGATTGTATCAAAGATACATGGCGAGAACAGGTATTTCTGGGGAGGAGGACAGCCACAATATGTAAATTCCAGGAGCCCTTTCATGTCATTCACTCATGTCACTTATATAGAATTTTCTGAATAATGGATACATTGCACAAGATCAAGGAACTTCTTCACTGTATGGAGACTTTGATGTTAAATTAGAACTGCATCTATGAATTCACTGACAATAGAGAGGGGGTATATATTAAAAACTTTTGAGCGGCAGCTATATCAGGATCAGGGAATCAAGCCCTGGGATCATGAAGATCACTGTTGCCGCAAGTGAGGGGGATCTCCCCAAAATGGGTGCACAACAGAAAATGGGTCTACACACATGTCTGATATTTTTTAATGGGCTATTCATTTTCATTTGACTAGAGCTCTGATTTTAATATTAAAAGAACCTCCTTCCATACACCTCCTCTCACTGTCTTCTTCAAAGCCAGTTGAGGACCAAGTAGTGCTTCACCATCGCAGGAACCAAAGTCCTTCTGTATGGTGGATGCACCAACTCCTAGAAGAAAACTTCTTGCCAGTCTCCCTGTACATTGTATGATGAGGAACTGTCCACCACTAGGAAGACTGGGGACTTCCAAAAGAGAGTGTCTGGTCTGAGTCTGGCTTTATTTATGTAAATTTTGCACTTGCGGTGGCATTCACCAAATGCGTCAAGCAAAACATATGTTTTTTGCACACAAAGATTAGTAACAAACGCACAAAGAATATGCGGTTAAAATATGGGCAGAGTTTGAAGCTATGAAAGATGCATGAGCTTCTTTGCCGAGTTTGTTGCACGTAGGGCAGCCCATTGAAATGAATACACCGCCCTATGTGCGACATGAGACAAATGCATAAAAACATTCATAAATGCAATGTGCAATGTTGCACTACACAAGTGGGAAAGGGGTTTTAAACTAAAGCTGGCCATACACTGTGCGAACTACGGCCAGTTCATCAAGAAATTTGCAAAGTGGGTGTCCTTGTTGGCACCTTTCCATCTGGCATCCTTCAATCACAACATCGAAAGACAAACAGTGACGGCAGCCAATAAGCTGGAGATTCCTCCATCCACACTGTTTAGCGTGGATGGAGGAATCTTTTATATTTTTTTTCGTTCAGCCTGCAGGTTGCAAAAAAATATAACAGTGTATGGCCAGCTTCACACTGATCAAAGTAGAACAAAGTGCATTTTTGATTCTTGATTGCATAAAAAAAAACAGGTTTGAAAGACAATATAATCAAAACAATTCCATGTTCATCCTAAAAATGAACCTTAGGTGGTGGCTTGTTGGTGGCGTATGTTACTGGGAGAGGTTGCACAGTGCCTCTGTCCGGTATCCTGCCCAACTCACTGATGTCTCTGGCTGCTAGGAGCTAGGTGGGATGCCAGCCAGAGTGTCCCCCTCAGCTCCTGATAACCAGTGACATCAGTGAGCTGGGCGGGGCGCCCGACAGAGGTCATGTGGGGAGGTGGGTGGCAGGTGTATCTGTCACCCCCTTTCTAGCCAGAGCATCCCAGGTTGCCATGAGCTCTAAGCAACCTGGGATGCTCTGGCTAGAAAGATACACCTGCCACCCACCTCCCCACATGACTTAGGGAGATGCCACCTGAGGCAACCACCTCAGGCTACATCATTATAGGGATGGCCTTGTATAGGTGTGAGACCTAACTGGTTAACCCAACAATCTTAGTTTTGTTAAACTAAGTTTTGTTATTATGGATAGCAAAATTGACCTACAGAAAATCCATTGAATCCTTGTAAAAGAAAATCAAAACTTTGTCCCATGTGCTATGTGGCATGCCAGAGTTTATGATTAGTGTCACCTCAGTAATGGGAAGAAGACCTTTTCCCTTCATTTTAGATCTCTACTGTCCATTTTCCAAGGTGTGATAATCCTTACAATACAGCTACTTTAGGCCATTGCCATGATCATCACTGGTTATCACCACCAGTGGCGTAGAAGGCAGCAGCGCTGGGCTTTTTCTTCTGATTATCTTTTGCTAATTTCAAAATATGCCTCACAACAGGAATCCACTCTGTATTTTACTATTTTTTTTGCCTTCACTTCTACTTTGGAATCCATTCCACATGACTTAGCACATGTCCCATTTATCTCGGTCTCTTTTGAATTATGTGACTTATGACTGTAGCCAGCTGGTCAGGTCTTCTAAATGACACCAGGCAAGAAGGCATTGATCTGAGATCTTCCTTGTTCATAAGATGCACAAGATCCATCTGAAAGCTCTATGAAATGTTGATAACTAATCATGTTCTGGGTTAGTAACACTATAGTGTATTGATCTACACTAGTTGTTTCTTCTTATGAACAACATTGTGTATGCAGTCCAGTGCAGTGAGGAGTGCTCAGAAATGTATGTCGGTGAAACAAAACAGCAGCTACACTGGCGTATGCCAAACCCTCTGGTCAGGATTCAGAGTTATACCTACATCTAAAGGAAAAAGGTCACTCCTTTGAAGACAGTCAAGTACGCATCCTAGACAGAGAGCAGGACTGGTTTAAAAAGAGGCCATTTATGTAAAAATGGAGGAGCCAAGCTTGAATAGCGGTTGGGGGGGGGTGAGATATCTATTGTCTGCCACATGCAATGCTGTTTTAACACCTCTCTCTGGGCAGGTTATTAACACCTCCTAGACTCCAATTATACAAATGCAATCAAAACCTGGTTGCGACTAACAGATTATGTGGATTGGAGCAACATTCACCATATTTATGCCCAGAGAATTTTTGTACAAGTCATTCTGAATTGAGAGAGCTGGTTGGACGACCAGTGAAACGTCTTCAAGAAAAATACAGCAAGTCCAGTTGCCTTGAGTTATTTTTTACAGATGTTTACACTGTAGTTCTGAAGCTAGTTTTTACAGTATCTGAAGGGGGCTCGGAGTCATATCTAGGACATAAATGTAACTGGCAATAGGGCATTGTGTCATTCGAAAATCTGCCAAACATGGCGTGAAGCAAAGTGCAGAGCATTTATATAAATGGTATGTAAAGGCAATCTTTAATCTTGGATAGAGTGGGGCAGGGTTAGACCCGCTGCCAAATTTGTATTATGCTCTGTGTACCCACTGGGGAGATTTATCCTTATATTTGTCCTGAAGACCATTGCCCTTGAGACAAAAAGTGAGGGGAAAACCTAAATTCTAGAGTTGTCATTAGACCCCCATCTTCCAACGGGGACAATTGTTCTGGTAGTGGCAACTATCTAAGATGTGAAATTCCCTCATGTTAGGGAGATTTTGTCTCACTTCCAGTTATGTCACTATAATAGGAAGAGAAGGGAAATCCCCCTAACTCCAGAAAATAACTTGTTAGGGCTTTTAACCATTTCCTACTTCATCCAAAGTAAAGTGTGTTGTCTATACCTGCCGTTAAAACTGTACAAAGAGCTAAGTAAAAGGTTACATGATTTTAGTTTCAGTTGGATTAAATATACAGCATCCATTCTACAATGACTTTACAATGACTTTACCTCTGGTATTCTATCCCAGTGACGGAGAGCCACGGGGAGGTGGAGATAAAACTGGATTTGAATTGCAGCCACTGTGAGATGGATGAATGTTACATCGATTCAGAGTCTCAGGAATTGATGTGTCACTGTGAGCTGGGGAGAATCTTGGCTGAGGATGGCATGACCTGTATAGGTGAGATTGTCCACTGTTTTATAATGCACAAAGTCTTAATCATTGTCATCAACAGCGACAAAGGACATTTTCGGATCAGTGTGTGGAATTCCAGTACATATGGCTCAATTTCCTCTGTCAAATTGAAGGCATATTGACAATTTCCTGTTGTTTATTGTATATAGTAGAGCTCCACAGGAAAGTTTAACAGGAATCTTTGAAGGACTGTCTCAGCTCCATGAAAATGCTCTGCAAAGTTCCCAGTGAAAGTTGTTGAGATCCAAGCCAAGTAATACCGCCACGTTCCTGCTGAGCAATGATATGTATTTAAAATAATTGTTTCAGACTCAAGAGCATATTAGAGTTATGCCCAGCAAGTGGAAAACATTTTGCTTAGTCCCTGTTACGCCTATAGAAAGTTATTTGCCCTATGGCTGGAGCTCTGTGGAAACATAAGGCTTGGACCAAGACTCAAAACAGAGTATCTGGACCAGTTCATGTTTCAAAACTGATATTACATTGTCCAGTTTTTATAACATTGCCCATTCCCTACTGTCCATTTAATAATCCATCCAGTCTAGAGAATTTATCCATGGACTCTATAGCTTGATTCATGAGTACTGTCTTTTCAGATGACCAGATTCAGTCCGCCCAAGAGACGCACCTTCCCCTTTCTCTGGTATTGTCCATCGTGACCTCAGGCCTTGTGGCTGCCCTTATCTTGGCGTTTTCTGGTATCATGATTGGTGAGTCATTACTATTTAAAAGACCTACACATATGTAAAAACGAAATGTAAAATGTTGTTTTTAGAAAGGTTCTCCTTCCACAAGAGCCCCAATTGTTGGTCGAAGTCTGACCTTTTTTTCTGAAGTCAATTGTACTCCTATGACTATAGATACCATGGACCTGGAATAGTAGCCGGTCTGTACAGATAATCTGAGATAATATTTTAGGCAATAGTGATTGCAGAAGGTTTTCCAACCTGTCCAATCAGTTTTCCTTAGGAGAGCGTTTAACCTGCTGGTTTATGACTGCCACCGTAGGCGTAAATTCATCACTTGATCTAATTATATCTGTGGACCTCTTAATTGAAAGGAGATTTTTTAGAGAACCTTTTTCGTTCTACATCAGTAGGCCATTATCAGTGATAGAACCACTCTCTCATCTACAGTATACCGCAGGAAGCACCAGGAACTTCAGGCCATACAAATGGAATTACAAAGTCCAGATTACAAACTCAGCAAAGTGAGAACATCCACCATAATGACAGACTACAACCCCAACTACTGCTTTGCCGGCAAGATCACCTCCATCGGAGACCTAAAAGAGGTTCCTAGGAAACACATCTCCCTCATCAGGTGAGGTTAAAAGTGCAGCCTGAAAGCGTGACATCATTTGACTGTTTAACTCAACAGGTATAACAGGAATAGCCTTATGTAATATTGTTAACAGTTGTATTATACTTAGATTGCAGTTATACTGAAGTTATTAGAGTTATATATCTTCTTGTACTTTAAACTGGAGTATTAAAGAACTACAGTTTCTTGCCCTTCAATTACAAGCAGAGGACACAAATAAAACTAATAACTTCTTTATATTTATAGTACATTTTTCATTTTAAAGATTTCAAGAAAGGAGAGAAGTCGTTCTGCAAAGAAATGGTATTTCATTTTTTTTGGATGCAGAAGAGTCATAATACAACAGTTTTTCTATATCTTGGGGACCTTGTTGGTGAGATCACTGCATTGAGTTCCCAGATCTTCACACCTGCTATGGCCAATGTGGGGTTACCCATTCTCCCTGCTATATTTTTTAGTTTATTTTTTAATATGGAGGATGCAGTACAAGGTGAGTGGGAACACCCAAAACTAAGAAAGGAGCAGTGGCAGGAACTGTGTTAAAAAGATGGAGCCCCCAAGAGAATAAGCAACCAGAAGATAAGTAAACCAGACTACTGCTATAAATGTGCACTAGATTATGTCCATCAGCATAGAAATACAATAGTAACTTGTCTGTCAGAATTCACTGTCTCATCTACACTATATGGCCAAAGTTTGCGGACATCTGACCATCACATCTACATGAGCTTTTTGGTCATCCCATTCCAAAATCCTTGGAAATTAATATGGATTGGCCCGCCTACCTCCCCTTCCCCAAGTTGTAGCTGTAACCTTCTCCAGTCTTCTAGTAAGGCCGTCCACAAGATTTTGGAGTGTGTCTATGGAAATATTTGCCATTCAACCATTAAAGCATTTGCAAGGTCAAGTACTGATGATGGAGAAGAAGATCTGCCTGGCAATCAACATTCCAGTTTATCCCATAGATGTTCCATAGAACTGAGGTGAGGGCTCAATGCAGGCCACTAAGTTTTTTTAAGGCAAATTGATCAAACCTTTTCTCTCTAGATCTCTCCAATTCAGCTGCACAAAACCGAGGTCCATAAAAATCCAACAAGGTATACAACACCATAGTATCTTTCCCACTCCAACGCCTCTCACACATTTCACCACCTGGGCTGCACCCGATGTCTATATTGATCTGCAGTCTGGTGGAATTGGAGCGGTGAGTCTTTTGCTTTCTTGTCTTTCTAGACTGATTTTTGCACAGGGGCACAGTCATGCTGAAACAGAAAAAGGCCTTCCCTAAACTGTGTCCAGAAGGTTGGAAGCACACAATTTTCTAAAATGTCTTTGTGTGCTGTAGCATTAGACGTACCCTTCACGGGAAAAATCTGAAGTCAATAAATTGGAAGGGTGTTTGCATACTTTTGCCTATATAATGAGGGTGTGATGGTCAGATGTTCTTAAACGTTAGGCCATGTAGTGTATAATGTGTGATTCCTTCCCTTTACTATTCCACATGTGCCATCCTATACACCAGGGTTAGCCAAACTTTGCCCTACAGCTTTGGTGAATCTAAAAATGCCATCATGCACAAGCCTGTGGCTGTCAGAGTCTTGCAATGCCTAAGGCCTCGTTCACACCAGACACAGTGCGTTCTGGCCCGATTCAGGCCAGAATGCACTACATCGCATTGCGGCTGGCTCACTATGTTGTGGGGCAGGAGGGGGTGTGGCGGTCCATTTAAGTGAATGGCACTGTAGCCACGCCTTCTGGCCGCAATGCGATCGGCCACATGGGAACACAAGGCACATTTTGTTCGGACCGGACCACAGGCTTAATGTTCTGGACAGAATTGTGCCACAACGCTCTGTGTCTGGTGTGAACGAGGCCTAATAGAATTTAATAGGAGAGCTACCCCTGCTATATACTATATCAGCCAGTGCTGATGAAGGTGGTGCTACACCCTCAGAGTGTGTTGGCTTTGTTTATTGCTACATGGATTGATTTGAAACCAAAGGATTCCCATTTGAAGACATCTGTGGTGTTTATTCATTTTACTTCATTTGTTCTCCTACTATAAGATTTTCTCTCTCTCTCCCTGGTGTAGGAAGCCTACACTTAGAACTTTTGGGCCATGATTCCGCAAATGAATCCAAATATTTGACCACCTCAGATAAGTCCAGCACTGCCACCCCTATACAACCTGATCCATTAATTCTCATGGTGCAACTTTGGTCATGACCAGTTCTCTCCTGCAAGACTCCCGCTATATTAGTAGAGACACAAATTCCCTTATCGGAAGACTCCGCTCAGCTAAATGAGCCCTAAAAACAAATTAACCCAAATTGAAGGTCATTTACACAAAATGACATAATGGAATGGAATTCACTTCCACCTGGGTGTCAAAAAAAGTTTCCCATGATGGATTCATCCATTAGGCGCAGAAAATAATACGGCGCCAAGAGACATTACCTTCCATGAACTGCTGGACTTCAAGTGCCAGAGCTCATTGGCTTTATGAACTGAAGATTAAGTACAATTCTCCAATTTCAGATTGAGAGAAGCTATATTCCGTGACTCTTCTTGCGTTCCTTGTTGTCTGTTATCATTAAATTTATGAGGTGTCAGAGAAAGACCTTGTAATGGAGTCAAAATCAATTTGTCAGAGGTCTCGGAGTTCACGGAGATAGATGAGTTCTAGATCCGGTCGTCTCTCCGGCTAGGGAACTTGCGGCAAGTTTTAATGATAACTTCGTCTCGGGCAATGTCAGACATCTGTCACTCAAGTTTACTTTGGACTTCGCACCTCCAGCTGCCGGTACCATCCACTCAGAGAACAAAAAAAAATCACTTCTGTCGCTCCGAATAAAACTTTTTTTTCATGTGTTGGATTTATAGAAGATGTCACAAGTCACCAATTTTGTTGAATGACTTGAAAACGGAAACTCGGCATGGCAGACAGCTCTCAGGTTGATGATGCTGAAGTTAATCCGAGACTTGGTTTAGAAGAATGTAATAAAACAAAACTGTTCCGGTCAGTGTGGAAACTTCTGTGGTTTCTGTGATTTCCAATAGTTTATAACCTTAAAGTCCTAATAAACCCTCAAACTTTTTTTCAATAATGAATCCAGATCAAACAAATCTCCATTGCCCAGCAAAGTATTTCTTTACATTTTGAGGCCAAGCATCTACAGTCATCATGTTTCCGAAGAGCTCCAACTCTCTCAGCTCGGCTTCCCAGAACTTCCTGTTCAGTACAAGATCACAAGGGACAGAGCAGTCTCCTGCAGCCATCTATTTGCTATCTTGAAAAAAGGGGAATGGGAGGAGTGGGGGGCAGAAAAGGAGGGGAGTGACTTGGCTTACTGTAGAGTTACACCTGCACTGCAAGGGTTAAGTGTTGGTTTTGGCTAGGGGGGCTCAAATAACCTGATCACCTGACCCCCATTCCCTCCTGGCTGCAAGACCGGACCCTGCAGCCTCTTCTCCCTGGGCTCCGGTGGTCTAAGGAATGGTGACGTCATCACTTCTAATGCAGGTCCACTGACTTGCAATAAGCTGAAGGGGGAAAAAGGTGAGTGCCGACTGCAGTATATCTGCCTTATTTGACACCTAATCTTTTTTTTGATTGGACGGCTTGGTCCAATGGTGCTTTTCCATTGGTCCAAACCACCAAACCATCCACAGAGCTCAAGCCTCTGACTCCAAGTCAGAAGCTTGTAGCTCTGACTGTACTATGTTAGGTTGCACACAGCACGGGGTGGGGTCAGTGGCATGGTAGGCATCCCCAATCACCAGGCCCGGTCATCAAGCTATGTGTTCATCTGCCCGTGGGGTGGGGAAGGAGGGAGGGAGGAGGAAGAAGCCTCCCTGTCCCTCACTTGCTCGTCACTGATGAGGCATCTAGATTCCATCCAAAACATTTAGGCAGACGGGCTGCACAGAAATCGGCCGCCTGGCTGCGAAATGTGAATGGGGTGGAAGCGGCGGTTGGTGGAGCAGGAGGAGACGGGGGACTGAGGAGTAGGAGGCAGGGGGTGGAGACAGAGGAGATGGGGCGGAGATGGAAGAGGCGGGGGTACAGAGACGGCGCCGGAGGAGGCAGGAGGGCCTCGACCATTGGGCAACGAGGAGGCTGTGTTACGAAGAGGTCAGGCAGCGGAGGAGGCTGGGTTTCCCCTGCCAAGTAAGAGGACTGTGCTGGCAGAGCCCAGTATAGATTCTGCACAGCCCACCAAAGAGTCTCAGGTGGGCTCTGCAGGATCCGTAGGGGGTTCTGCAGCCTGCAAAGCCCACCACAGATCATGCACAGCCCTCTTGAGATCCTGCAGACTGCAGGGTCTCAGGGGGGCTGTGCAGGATCTGTTGGGGGCTTTGCCAGGTCTCAGGGGGGCTTTGCAGGATCTGTGGTGGGTTCTGTGGGGTCTATAGTAGGCAGAGCCCATTACAGATCCTGCACAGCTACCATGAGACCCTGCAGACTGCTTTGGTGGGCTTTGCCGGATCCGTGGGGGGCTCTGCAGCCTGCAAAGCACACCACAGATCCTGCACAGCCCCCCTGAGATCCTGTACACTGCAGGGTCTTAGGGGGTGCTGTGCAGCATATGTGGGGGGCTGTACAGGGTCTCAGGGGGGCTTTGCAGGATCTGTGGTGGAGACCTCGCAGAGCTCACCACAGATCCTGCAAAGCCCCCCTGAGACCCTGCAGAGCTCATCACAGATCATGTAGAGCCCACCTGAGACCACAGCTTTCCTGCTATGCTAATAGCGGAACATTTCAAAAGCTTGATACAGCGTGTGCACTGTATCCAGCGACTGAAAGGTTACGCTAAAAGTATTAAATAGGAGGGGTGGGGTCAATTTAGTGTGGGGGGGGGTGTCCAAGTTTTGTCTTGCCTCCATCGGAGATAATACCGGCGCATAGACTCGCCAGCGTATAGATATATGTAAAGGATTAGCCCTTCTCCGCCGCCTAAACCCCTCTTTCCGAGAAATTGCATTTGCAATGCGCCGCAGCAAAGGACACGAGGAAATACGATGCGGCTAAATGCTAATAGTATGCAAATACCAGAGCCATTATCACAGGATGAGAACTTCCTACCGCAGAAACGTCTGTGAATAACAATGTGTGACTTCTGATTACACACCTGAAATCAAAGGCGGGGAAACTGGTTCAGAACATCAGAACTTCCAGAGCTCACATTAAAGGAAAATATTCTTCAGAGCCGAGGTTCAGGAAAAAAGGGGCCAAATACACAAATGGAATACATGTATGGGAGCTGGTATCTCTGCAAAGTGATGAGATTTACACAGCTCTTCCGCACAGCATAGGGAAAGAGACCTGATCTTTCTGTGTTGCAGTTAAGTAGCACTTACTGGTCTTGTCTCTCCCCCAGGCTAGGAAAGGAGACGCAGCAGACTGATGATTGGCTTATCTGGCTGTCACTCTGCCCTCTCCTTCTATTAGCACCCTTCTTTATAGCACCTGAGCACTGCAGCACAACTGACTCACTTGAGTTGCTTCTCCCTCCCCCAGCCTGAGCTCTGCTGTACAAGGATGGCTGATACCACGTTGAATTCAAGTACTCACACTGCATGCATTAATATATATATATATACTGTACATAGACTGTATTACCAAAAGTATTGGGACGCCGGCCTTTACACACATGAACTTTAATGGTATTCCAGTCTTAGTCCGTAGGGTTCAATATTGAGTTGGCCCGCCCTTTGCCGCTATAACAGCTCCGCCTCTTCTGGGAAGGTGTCCACAAGGTTTAGAAGTGTGTCTATGGGAATGTTGGATCATTTGTGAGGTCAGGTACTGATGTTGGACGGGAAGGCCGGGTTTGCAGTCTCCGCTCTAATTCATCCCAAAGGTGTTCTATCCGGTTGAGGTCAGGACCCTGTGCAGGCCAGTCAAGTTCCTCCACCCCAAACTCGCTCATCCATGTCTTTATGGACCTTGCTTTGTGCACTGGTGTGCAATCATGTTGGAACAGGAAGGGGCCGTCCCCAAACTGTTCCCACAATGTTGGGAACATAAAATTGTCCAAAATGTCTTGGTATGCTGATGCTTTAAGAGTTCCATAGGTAAAGGTGACTTTGTGTTTCCCCTGCAGAGGTTTGGGCCACGGGGCTTTCGGAGAAGTGTATGAAGGTCAGGTGCTGGCCAGTCCCAATGACCCGGCTCCCCTAAAGGTCGCTGTGAAGGTAAGCCACGCCTCCATTTCTATGTTCAGTTATAAGTTCTCATTTGTATCAAATCAAAAAGGTTCTTCTTTCCATCAGTAGGATATAATGTGCCGTCTGAATGCTTCCGCTGCTGCTGCACCGCCCATCACGGTGTAAGGAGGCACTCTACCAGGGGTCCGGCTTTAAGACCCCCCGCCATGCAGAACAAGATACTAGCATCATTAAACTGATATCAAAGTCAACATTTTTTAAGCTTTTTCAAATGCTGAATAAGTCACTTACACTGGCTGCTGCTCCCTAATATTTACATGTTTTAGATTCCTGCAGAATCAGCTGGTCCCCTGAGCACGGGCCCGGATATCCTGTTTTAGGGTGGCTCCTTCCTCTTGCAGAGACCTATGGAGCCACCCTAGTAAGCTGTGTGTGTCTCTCTACACACAGGCACAGCATGGCAAGCCACTTCTCTGCTCTCTGATCCCCTTCTCCCTTCTCAAAACTAGTAGATGGACAGCTGCTGGAGACTGTTCTGTCCCTGGTGATCTTGTACTAGACAGGAAGTTCATGGAAGCCGAGCTGAGAGAGTTGGAGCTGTTGAAGATGACTATAAGTGCTTGGGTAAAAATGTAAAGAAATACTTTGCTGGGTGAATCATATTTCTTTGATCCGGATTCATTATGGAAAAAAAGTTTGAGCATGTAATACTACTTTAAGAATTTAGAAAGCACGGAAGCAGAGAGCAGTAGATGCATACGAGGTTAAACATTGGCGCTCTTGCCCACTGAGTCAGTGCCTGTAGTGCTCCTGCAACAATAAATTAAAGAAGTAGAACAAGGAGTTCCAGCGATTGTCAGCTTTGTGTCAGAAGCAGTTACATGTCCGATATCATCTATAAAACAGCAGAACGCGAGCGCCATACATTATCCTTGTCCGGCTTATTGGCAGTGGGAAAAAAAGAGTTAAAAATGTAGTAAAGTATATCTGTAAAAAAGAAATCAAGGCAACTGGACTTGCTTTATTTTTCTTGAAGACGCATCCGACCAGCTTTCTCAATTCAGAATGACTTGTACAAAAATTATCTGGGAATAAGCCATTCTACAAGTCATTCTGAATTGAGAAAGCTGGTTGGGTGACCAGTGAAACGTCTTCAAGAAAAATACAGCAAGTCCAGTTGCCTTGACTTATTTTTTACAAATATACCATGTGACCTGGATGAATGAGAACCTTCACAGACATGTATTAAAGTAGTGCATATTAAACTCTCAATCTTCAATAATGAATGCAGATCAAACAAATCTACATCACCCAGCAAATTATTTCTTTACATTTTTGTCCAAACACTTACAGTCATCATGTTTCCAAACAGCTCTAATTCTCTCAGCTCGGCTTCCCTGAACTTCCTGTCCAGTACAAGATCACAAGGGACAGAGAAGTCTCTGGCAGCTATCTATATGCTATCTTGCAGAAAATGGAATGGGAGGAGTGGGGAGCAGAGATTGAGGGGACTTTTTTTCAATCATGAATCCAGATCAATTAAATTCCATCGCCCAGCAAAGTATTTCTTTACATTTTTGGCCAAGCACTTACAGTCATCATGTTTCTGAACAGCTCCAACTCTCTCAGCTCGGCTTCCCGGAACTTCCTATCCAGTACAAGATCACAAGGGACAGAGCAGTCTCCAGCAGAGGTCCATCTGCTAGCTTGGAGAAGGGAGGAATGGGGAGCAGGAGGAAGGCGGGGAGTGTATTGCCTTGCAAGGCCTGTGTGTTTGTGGAGACACACAGCTTACTAGCACACACAAGGGCCTATAAATTGCGACAAACTGGTTGCGGTTCATTTTGTACAATCTCAACTTCAAACACATAAACAAAGGTATGGTAATTGACTGTATTACCTGAGTGTTGCCATGAAGTTGTGGACTTGTTGAATGAAGAAACCACATTCAGTAGAGTTTTAACTGATTCTTCCAATACAGTTAGGAATAACATTTGAGCCTTGATACAGCTCTGCCTGGGTAATCATTAGACATCAGAAGAGGTTGTGAAATATGTGGACGTTGGCCATCCTACTGTCCTAGCTATATATTGCCTTCCCAAAATTCATAGGGGTTTACCCCTTTGAAGTATCACCTCATAGTGTTTGGCCCCAACAGTATCACCGGACCATTAGCCAAGGGTCATTGACCGTTATCTACAACCTATGGTTGTGGCACTTCCATCTTTTCTGAAGGACAACGGGAATTTTATTGAGCACATTTTAAATTTAGAATTCAGGAAAGGATGGGTATTAGCCAGCATGGACATTTCCTAACATACCCAACAAAGTGGGTCTAAAGACCGTTGGAAATGTTCTTATTGCCAATTCTACTAGTTTACCATTCTACAGAGTTGGGACTTGATACAGTGGTACCTCGGGTCACAAACGCTTCTGTTCGCCAATAATATGGTTTGGGAACAGGAAGCTCGTCAGAATTTTGCCTCAGTTCGCGAACTCTGCATCGGGTGACAAACAGGACCGCGGCCATCTTCCGTGCTCTGACACATGGTCGTGGCTTCCTGTACTCGAAATTGTGGTCGCAGTGAGCTTACTGTGAAGCTTTTTTGTGTGCTTTTTAGCACATACAGTACTGTACAGTATTATTCAATCCAGCATGGCTCCAAAGAGAGTGCAGAGCAAGCATGGTGGTAAAAAGAAAGTGCAGAACAGTAATGAAGGTGACAATAACATGCAGAGCGGTAATGAAGGTAACCAGAATGTGCAGAGTGGTTAAATTTTATTTACATATGGTTCACAACAGATTAACCTCATTTGCATTGAACCCTATGGGAAAATTTGATTCTGTTCACGACCAAAATCAGTTCCCGAACACTTTCGTAGGGGTCAGAATGGATTAAACCTGATTTACATTGAACCTTATGGGGAAATTTGATTCAGTTCATGACCAATTCAGTTTGTGACCAGAATCGTGGAACCAATTAAGTTTGTGAACCGAGGTACCACTGTACTGAAAAACAAAATCTTCAAACTCAGTATGTTGTTTAGACAAGGTAGCGGTACAGCTATGGGCTGCTCTGTCACCCCTGCTTTTGCTAATCTTTTTGTAGGATATCTTGATGAGAAATATTTAAATCCGTCCTCTCCATATCACGACCACGTACATACATGGCTTCGCTCTATTGATGACATTTGGAAAGGTCATGTGCAAGAATTTGAAGACTTTGTTCTGTTTCTTAATTTAATTTTTCCTTCTATTGAGTTTAATCCACAGTTATCTGATTCTTACATCACATTTTTGGTTGTTGCGGTGTCTTTTTATCATGACGGGAAATTACCCAACTCAAAACTTCAAACTATGGCTAGAAATCCCTTACTACACTACTCTAGTGCCGACCCCAAGCATTTGGTTGATGACCTTCCTGTTTCCCAGTTTATGCCACTACTTCAGATTTGTTCTAATATAGAAAATTGCGAAGTTTAGATTCACAAGATGCCATACATGCATACATTCAAATGTAATAAAAATGTGAGAGATCTTCTAATCCAGGGGTGGGCAATTATTTTCTCAAGGCACCACATGGGAAAATGGGACTGTTATGGAGGGCTGAACCAATAGAGATTGTGGGCAGGAGGGCCCTTCACACCTACAGTATGCCATGTGTTAATTGATGAATGCACAGTACTGCGCAACCTTCATAGGCCCTGAATGAAGCCTTATTATCCACACATAGCATGAGGCACATACCTTATTTTCTTTATCTTGATAGGCCAGAGGCAGGAGCCGTAAGGTGGAGCTGCAGGAGCAGAATGAAGAAGATACTCTTCCATCGTCCTGTAATGCTGGGGGCGGGAACACATTTGATGTCACTGTTTGCTAGGACCATCCTATGGTCCTAGCAGTCAATGACTGCAGAGAAGGAAGATTCCTGATGTTATTGGTTGCAAGGTTGTCAGCGGTTCTAGCAACCTAGGACTGAAGAGAACCCTCGGTCTAGACACGGACGATCGCTGAACTGCGCTGGGCTATGGCTTGCTGTGGGTTCACGGGCATTGGAGGTCAGTGCATCCACTGTCAGTCAGTCATAACCAAGTGCAAGTTTTCGATCGGTCCGTGTCCGGACCACAGAGTGAACAGGGACAGACAAGAGGCCAGATACAGCCCTCAGCCATACAATGCCCAGGTCTGTTCTAATCAACCTTTCAATTTTTTGATAGAAAAGTGCTATAAGTGTACCTGGTCTCGGTTCATTTTGTTCACGTTCAACATCAAACATATGAACTCAAAGGTATGATAGTTGCCTGGATTATCTCCTTGGGACATGGAGGTGACAGAAAACTCTTGTTTTCTAAGGGAATCTTATTGGATTTTTAATTTGCAAACGATGACTCCCAAGCATCTGAATACCATAATATCATGCTTACATTTATTTATGTGATCACTCGTGTGGCTCATTGATCACACAAATGTCTTTTATAAGCACTCTTCTTCAGGTTATTTTTTCCTGATAGGATCTTCTTAGTCATTATTCCTCCATTTTACCTACTTTTCTTGAAGTTGGCCATCTTCATTGTGATTATATCTCTAGAATTTCTATGTGTGCTCCCTTCTTATTTTTTGAAAATGTTTTTCTGTATCTCATGTTATTTTCTGCCTCTAGCACTGTAAGAACCCTTGCACGTGGGCTTTCCAATCTGTCAGTTTTTCAGGTGGACCTGATTGGAAGGCCAAAGTTAGTCTATGAGCAGCTGGATCTGAAGTGGCATGCGTCCAGGGACGGATTTCCCACAAGGCCAACTGAGGCCTGGCCTTGGGGCAGCAGGGAGCAGGGGTGTGAAATTCCTAACTCCCGATGCTCAGGAAATGCAGTTCCGGACGGGTAGTTGTTTTCTACATGTAATCCTGCTTTGGGCAAGCAGAGCCAAATGTTGAGCAGGGAAGTCGCCGCTTGTTTTGTACAAGTGATGTTGGCGATGCCGCTGAGATCACTTGTATGCAGCCTGCAGGTCTGCCATTCTCCATGGGGGGGGGGGGAGGGGGGGGGGGGGGGGGGGGGTT